ATTTTGCCAAAGACTCGCCAAAACGGCTACGGAAATTTATGAAATGCTAACGCAAGCATTGTTGGGATAGGCTATGGGGCCTGTCAGCTGATTCTAAAGGAAGAACTCCACATGCGACGCATCCTGTCAGAGGACTAGAAGCAGAATCGACTTCTCGTTTGTCAGGAGCTCAAAGATCTTGCAAGATCCGACCCCAACTTCCTTTCTAAGCTCTGTGTGACTTCTTCCTCTTCCCAAAGTTGAAAATTCAGCTAAAGGGAAGGAGATTTGAGACGATAGAAGAGATTCAGGCAGAATCGCAGATGGTGCTTGACAGGCTGACAAAGAAAGATTTCCAGGGATGCTTCCAGGCTTGGCAGCGGCGCTGGGATCGTTGTGTTCACTCCCAGGGGAACTACTTCGAGGGTGATGGATGAATTTAATATCTGAGATAAGTGTACGGGTTTTTATAGGCGCAGTCTGGAAACTTTCCGATCGCACCTCGTATTTACAAATGAGTATATTTTTATCACTCAATTTTTAGGTTAATGACAGAATTTTGAGAAGACCCATAAGTAACCTATATAACATTTCGCACTAAATTTGTGAGATAATCTGTAATATTTCATGACCATAAAACACTTCGTATATAAAGCTAGATACAGATTTGAACACAGAGATATCTTACCCTTCTGCCTTTCTCCTCAAGACACAAAGCTAAATTCTTGGAATATTCACATTTATTTCTTTTGTTATCTGAAAAATATAAAATTACATTAACTTTTCTTTAATACATCTTAATTTGTTATACTTTTGTACACACTATTTCAAAGTACATGAACATTTAAAGCATTTTGTGTACTCCGTTACTCACCCATCTCCAATAACTCAAAACAGTCTTCAACAGATTCTTCAATAAAGTCTCTCACTTCTGGGTCACGAATCTTCTTGGTCATTACTTTTATTACCATTGATTCGTCCGGTTCTGCTGAGTCATCTAACTGATAAATTGTAATAAATATTAGATAAAATTTGTAATCCAATTTATAAGCACTCTACAACAAATTTTGTGAGGTTATGTATTATCATCTTACCATACGCATCTCTTGAAAAATGCAGTGTATGATGCACTGAAAAATAAAATAAAATTATGTTATTATTTATAATGATTACAAAAGAACGTACCTTACATGAATACATTTTCAGTTAGAGTATTTTTCTCATCCAGGGACTGGGTAGTGGGACTTGAAGAATAGATCTATGTGAAAATGTGCGACAATTTTTCTACAAGGTCACGAGTGTTTGTTGTGGTACTTGAAACAGGTGTGTCCGTATCCAAAAATAGTTCCACCTGTCTGCCCATACACATGAATCAACTCTTGAAGTAAAACATCTTCAAGAAATTTTGTATTGAAGAGTTGAAACATTTTTTAACATTACAATTTTAGTTTAATTTGAACACCAATAATAGGTACTTTTTGTGAAGACTCACTTGCAATTACACACAACAAAGTGACTGGGCGAGGACTATCCAAGCTGCCTTAGTTCAAACATAACCATTTGCGAACACGCAACAGATTTTAGTATTCAGTAATATCTGAGTGATACGAGGTGCGATCGGAAAGTTTCAAGACTGCGCGTATAAAAACCCGTACACTTATCTCAGGTATTAAATTCATCTATCACCCTCGAAGTAGTTCCCCTGGGAGTGAACACAACGATTCCAGCGCCGCTGCCAAGCCTGGAAGCATCCCTGGAAATCTTTCTTTGTCAGCCTGTCAAGCACCATCTGCGATTCTGCCTGAATCTCTTCTATCGTCTCAAATCTCCTTCCCTTTAGCTGAATTTTCATCTTTGGGAAGAGGAAGAAGTCACACGGAGCTAAATCCGGTGAATAAGGAGGGTGCGGGATGACGGCCATGGTGTTTGAGGCCAAAAACTGCCGAACTTTGAGGGCGGTGTGCGCTGGCGCGTTGTCTTGATGCGTCGCATGTGGAGTTCTTCCTTTAGAATCAGCTGACAGGTCCCATAGCCTATCCCAACAATGTCGCACAAGTCGTTGATGGTACGACGTCGATCTTCGTAACTTTTTCGGGCGTTGTGCTCGAAGATGGTCGTCCAGAACGCTCGTCATCATCGACAGAGGTTCGGCCGGCCCTTTTTAAAACGTGAATGCCACACAAAAGTTTGCGGACTCCCCAAATGTTTGCTTTAGCATTTCATAGGTTTCCTTAGCCGTTTTGGCGAGTCTTTGGCAAAATTTGATGCACACGCCATTCCGAAATCGCAGGAGGGTCGGTGTAATGCACTACCAAAACGCCCGTAACTAAGAAACAAATGCTAATTCGATGATGCCGGCTGGCACACTGATTCACTATGAATGTAGGCCGCACCCCCTTAAGGCAGAAGCTCGTACTACATCCGGTTCGCCCGCTATTGACACAGTCTTGAAACTTTCCGATCGCACCTCGTATCGTTGAGATAAAGTGAACTAGCCTGAGTTAGGAAGGTAATGTTTAATACAAATGTAAAATTTATGTAGTACTTAGTGTTAGAAATAAATGGTGTACAGTCTTAGGGAACAAGGTATAGCTTCACGTAAGAAATATATCAGCTGATAATGTTTAAGCTGACGACAGCGTCCTCGTGAACTCGGCCTGCTCCATTCCTAGCCAAGCTACCAACATCATTCAAAGCCAAGCTACCAACATTATTCAAAGAAAAACTCAATACACATACTCACTGGCTCAACCTGTTCCAGTGGAGAACTCTCGTGTAATTCAAGCGTAGAATTTGTGTTATTGTTCTTTGCACTGTTGTTACTGTTTTTCCTTTGGCTGTTTCTGTCTTGGCTACCCCTCGATCTAATCCCTGATCTAGGATTATAATATGGGTTTCGCTGGGAATCAGGGTAGCCATAACCGAAACCGTATCCTGCGGAGAAACCAGAAATACAAAAAATTTGCATTATCAGAGAGACGTAATTATTACGGGAGTTAGAACACAGCATAATTGGTGAAAATATCCAAGGTTGAAAATCAGAATCTGGCATTATTTATCTTTTACGAGGAATATTTGTTGCAGAAGAATTTTATTTTCATGATTCAGATGTCCTTAAGATATTATGTTATTTAAATTATAACCAAAGATAACATAAAAATTGATAGTGGTCCTTCGTAAACAAGTGGGATGCATCTTGAATCCAATCTGATTTGAAACCATAATAGATATTATCCTCGTGGATAATAGGAAATCCACTGAGGCATTTTACGAACTCAAATGTGCAATGTAGGAGAAACCTTGGTATACAATCCTTACGTAATCTGTATTCCTCCAGTAATAATGTTGTTCATTAAAGAAACATTTAAATTTACGAAGCACCAATTTCGGAAAATTTACATTTATTTGATTCCCACACATGGACAAAATATTATATCGAATCGAATGCTTTGCTTATGACGAACTTACCTCCAGAAGTTTGCTGTTTTCTCCACATTCCATAATCATTATCGTTGCCTCCGTTGGTATTACGAGTACTTTCGTGGTTATTGTCCGCATTACCGTCATAAGAATCCCTGTTATTGAGGTGTCTGTTTTCATTATATCTACCGCTATTGTAATCTTTGTTGTTGTTGGCGTCTGTTTTCATTATGTCTACCGCTATTGTAATCTTTGTTGTTGTTGTTGTTGTTGTTGACGGTGGGACTGTCCCAACTGGACATGTTACTTAAACATGTTTTGGCGACTTCTGTGAACTTGTCATTATTTTTCTCATCTTGAGAGCGACATTTCAACCCCTTAAAGAAAAACCATAATACAGTATGTCTGGATGTTGCGTAGGAATTCATTTGATTTGTGTACATATTTATGTAAAGATCAGGCTAACAAATCAGTTTAAAGCGTACGAGAATATATAAAAAAAAGATTATGAAATCTAAGAACAAATTGCACTGCCATGAGAACTTCAAATATCATATTATCAATGTTTGAATGAAATTTTGGTAAATATTCTGAGTTCCAATAAAAATTATTCCAATTTAAGGTGTTGTAAACTATAAAACAGGTAAAAAAACATTTCGTTCCTTATTTCCAGCAGTCAAGTCGAAAGCATTTTAATCAGAAATCATACCACACAAATTTTAATTATTCATTGTACATGGAATGAAGAATTATTTGAAAAATGTATACACATTCACCACAGTAGTAGTGAAATTAAAATTTCCCAGCCCATGCATAATATACTAAAAATATAGTTAATTTATAAAAAAAATTAAATAAATAATTTAAATAAATGAGATACAAGGTTTTCGAACTTCATACTTCCTAAATTAGGTATTCTTAACCCACGGACCACTGACATGTAGCATAAATAATAAATTACATAAACTTTCAGAGAACGTCAGGACCCAAAATTGATTACAAATGACTGGGAAGGACTCGTTCTTCAATGCCTTGAGCATCTGCGGGTCCCAACTTTTTGTTGGCTTCATCTATGGACATTCGGTACGACTCCTTGGATGAGGGATCGGCCCGTCGCAAGGCCTCTACCTGTACACAGGACAACACGACGCGGACAAACATCCATGGCTTGAGTGGGATTCGAACCCACAGCATACGGCCCACGCCTCAGACAGCGCGGCTACTCCGGACCCTAGAAATTAATACTGGAATGATTAAAATCAGTCAAATGATATTAACGTAACATACTATACCCTTCTAGATAAAAATGTGTTTTGATTAAAGTTAGTTCCATAGCAAATGTGTCTTCGTATCTGTTGAATATACTCACATAGCTCGCTGATATCAGTATTACAACAACCAGAACTGTGCTCAATGTCAGGTTAGCCATTTTGAAACAAAGGTTTTACCTATTACAAGCTCGCCAACTTATATACTTAAAAATTCAGTGTTTACTGAACTAACAGGACTCATGGCTCATCGGTGATACCATTATCAATCAATCTGACACACACAGAATAAGTCAGAAAATATAATCAATTTGGTATAAAAATTGAATAGTTTCCTTTCAGAGTCACTGGACTGAGAACTAAGATTATATGTTACGTACAAATCATCGGAAAGCATTAGTATTCTTAGTTGGCAGATGTACAAAGTAGTTTAGTATTATTGTACAGGGGTACCAAAACTACTTACTCAGTTATCAAAATTTATTTCCATTAATATTATATTCTACGACATCTATTGCATCTGTGACGAAATTAAGAACACGAAAATTTTGGGAAATGCTAGCTATCACGATCTTTTGTCTCTCTGTCTGCTGTCTAAAAGCATAAAAATTAAAATATACAAAACAAAAAATTTACCTCTGTTCGTATTGATGTCTCACAACAAATGAAGAACAGATTTTGAGGGTGTTTGAGAAAATGTTGTAGAGGATAGTATTTGACCCAAAAAGGATGCATTGACAAGAGGATGCAATGAGGACATGGGGGAGATGATAAATACGTACAAAATTTTGATTTGAAAACTTGGCAGAAAGATGCCACTTAGAAAACCTAGGCACAAGTGGGAGAATACTGTTTCAGATCTTCTCAGGAAAGTAGGGTTAGAGGGTGTTGAATGGATTCGTCTTACTCAGATTATAGCAGCATATTTGTTGTTTCGTGCGTTAAAACGTGAACACGTCTTTAAATGACATTTCTGAACCTGAAAATTTAATTAATATAAATGTCTATATTAAATAATTGAAAAATTAATCACCAGGATTTGAGTTTTCAACATAAACTAAAAGATTGGTTGAGACGTGGTTTTCTATAACACAAAGTTTGAACCTTTAGGTACATTTCATAAGCAGAATGTACGTGATTGGATGGATAGAACGTGAATTTGTAACAGGGCAATATCTAAGCGGTGAAGCATAATTCGAAATACAGAAAACGATTTTTTTATTTATTTGAGTAATAAAATTTTACGGAAAATGAGTTATAAAGGTATTGTTACATTAACAGAGAAATGAAAAATGCAGTAATCAAAATATCTCATTGATCCTATTATCAAATTAAAACGTTATAACGGGTTGAAGTGAGGTTATGTCGCGAACAGTTCGACTAGCAAGCTTGCATTTTGGTGACGTTGGGCTTAACTTGGTTTATGCAAACTTTATACATCGTGAAGTGCAGACATTTTAAACAGATTCAATGTTCCCAAAACACGCAAACTCAAGTCAGTTCACGTAACATTTTCCACACTCCTCGTTTAGAATGCACTGGGCATCTCTAATGACCGGTGTCTTTTCAAAATGTTGTTATTCACGCTTTGTTCCGTCAGTGTGTCACAGATATTGTTATTTGCGTTCATTACTTCAAACATACTGAATGGACTTCGTGAATGCATCCTGTGTATTGACGCTAGATGAATCCATCGCTAGTTTGTTGACAAGCACTTCCTACTTCGTGACAGCTGATCGTTTATGTTAGATTTCGTAGTAAAATCGGCTAGCAAACAGAGAAAGATGCCGTGTATATATTTATAAGATCATATGAATGCCACGGTGGTCTAGCGGTTAGAACGCTGGCCTTGTAATCCTGGGGTCTCGGGTTCGAATTTATAACTTGTGTTGGGCAAGGCCGTGGTCTAGGCAACACGGAGTTTTCCTCCGTGGCATCCCAACAATTACTCCATTCACACACAGAAGAAGGCAATGGCAAACCACTGCTGGATCATCTGCCAAGAACGTATATGAACAAGTCCCAGTCCGAGAAAAGGATGGAAGAAGGATCCTGTTCATATGGACCTGACCTGTCGTCA